ACAACCTAAGTTGCTATTTCGCCCGTCATTGATCCTGTGATTGATTGAAATGAGTGCAATTATATATATATATATATATATATATATATTAATACTATGTTAATACTATGATGATAAAGGAAAATAAAAAATATTATTTTAATAATTTAGTCCCGAAAGTTATCGACATTCACCAATAACAACAACCCAAATTTTATTTAGTTTAAGAAAAGGTATTGAATCTTTATAGTTCGAATAAAATAATTGGAAAAATCTACCAAAAACAAAGTCCAAAGAAGCTTCAACTGGTCGATCCACTTGCAGGGTCCGGCGCAAGCCTGCTTGCATATTAAGAAAATATACTCTTATCGTATATAATTGACAACATGTTCTCCATTTCCAATCCCACATCTCTTCAATTATTCTCAACATGCCTTCTTCTTTGCAGCTTCATCGGACCACCGCCAACGTAGGCGGCTGCCGCCACCACCAAAAACAACACTCTCAACCCGCCTCCCTCACGAGCTTTTTCCCTATCCCCACCGGTGTTTCCGTCCCCGACATGGTCTCAGCTTACCACATCCACAACCTGGGTCCTAATCAGTGTTGCTCCGCCGTGGTACAAACTATAAAAGCCCCTGTGGAAACCGTCTGGTCGGTGGTTCGCCGTTTCGAAAACCCTCAGGCTTACAAGCACTTCCTCAAAAGCTGCCACGTCATAGCCGGCGACGGCAACGTTGGCAGCCTCCGTGAAGTCCATGTGATATCGGGTCTCCCTGCCGCTTTCAGCACCGAGAGGCTCGAGATCCTCGACGATGAACATCACGTGCTTAGTTTTAGTGTCGTCGGCGGTGTTCATAGGTTGAACAATTACAAGTCCGTGACGACTCTACACGCTTCCGGTAACGGGACAGTCGTCGTCGAATCATTCACCGTGGATATACCACAGGGTAATACAGGAGAAGATACATGCTCTTTCGTTGATACTATTGTACGTTGCAACCTTCAATCTTTGGCTCAAATGGCTGAAAATATGGCAACATCATCCTTTTAATTTCTTTTTTAAAATTAGTTCTCTTTATTCTTTTTTTTTCTTGGTACGAAATTGATTAATGTCGACGAATGATATATCTATTAATGAAATTTTCGTATCGAGATTCATAGATCGAAATAGAAGCCTTGATGAAGTTGAAGGAGGTTGTATTCTACCATAGTAATATCAATGATCTAATCTGTATGTTAACACAGTCAATTTGTATGTAATTGTGAATGTATTTCCTTCTTTGTTTCAATGGAGGAAGGGCTTTTTTTATATTTTATTTTTGATAAATTTTCATCTAATCCTAATTTTCAGTTAGCGAGCTAAAAAATACGATGGAAAGCGAGCTAAAAAATACGATGGAATATACAGATGAGCAGCTCGACCAATCGGACAAATATGATTGTTCAGAAAGATTTTTTATTTAATTTTTATTATTATTTATCGTTTCCATTTGGTCAGTCAACAAATTATATAATTATTAATCAATATCAATTATTTTTACTTATTACCAAAAAAAATATCATCTTTAACTTAAAATGACATCAAATATCTTCTGTTGGGTTAATCAAATTATTTTAAAGTGCATATAAATTAATCAATTTGTATTTAAAAAACATCTTTGTGTATGTAGTAATGTCCCTTGGATTAATAAAAAATATTAAAAAGATTCCCATTTGTAACGTACGAATAACTGGGGCTGCTATAATAAATATATACAAGTTTAATATAATATTTAGGGTAAATTACCTCAATTAGTCATTGAACTTTAATTTGTGTATTATTTGATTACTAAACTTTAAAACACTTTAATTTTAATATTAAACATTTGATATTGATTTTTTTTGTCACTAGACCAATGAATCATTAATATTTGGATGAGTACAATTTTGTGTTGATGTGTGCTTGCGTCAAAGCCATAAAAACAATTGTTTTTATTAACTTCATCTTCTTCTTCATAAAAATTAGAGTTTTCATCCATTTTAATCATCATCGAAAATTGTTATTCTTCAACATTTTTTGTGATCATCCTAGACGTTGATGAACTCGTCTCATTGGCCTCTATGATTTTATTAGTTTAGATTTTCTCAAAACCTCTTTGAAACCCTCGAAATTATACATAAAAAATACTATCATATTTTGGGATTTGAGAACTTTCTTATATTTGAGAGGTTAGGGATGTTTGTTAAAAAAATCTAAATGGTGAGAAGCATTCTTTCAATAAGAAGAATCATATAGCTCGAAACCAGTCTCATTAGATGGACATCGGAGGAGATCATAGCTTTTAGAATATTGAACATTTAGATATATTTTCATTGACTTTGAGTGGGTTTTATGAAAATCCCATCAAAAAGAAGAAAGATGAGTAGAATGTGAATATTTTGATATTGACTTATCGTGAGTGACGATCGGCGATGGGTGATGATTGACCAACAACGACAATCGAAGAAGTTGATTTTTTATATATAAAAAATGAGAAAGAAACAGCCATCTCATCATGCCATTAACGACATGAAGATCTAGTGACAAAAAAATCTACGTAGGAAGTTCAATACTAAAATTAAGGTGTTCTAAAATTTAGTGACTAATCAATATACAAATTAAAGTTCAATAACCAATGAGATAATTTATCCCAACGTTTATATCTATGGATAAAGATGATCATAAAAGCCTGTGCATGACATGCTAGAGACATGACATACACCTTACCATAATAAATTTAATACTTTTTATAGGTTTCTTTTGATGTTTTTAATCCAGCGTGTAACATGTTGACAAGAAAAACAGGTTAAAGGATCAATACAATATCTTTATTTATTCAAATGTTCATTATCTTAGGATATGAATATATCTTCAGAACTTTCATGTACGGATAGGTTTTCATCTCTTCACGATAGATGAAAATAATATCTTTAATTATTTTTAATCAACTATTAATCACATTTTAAAAATTAATATGCTTTATTTGATTTTTGGGGGGAGAATAAGATAAAGAAAAAGAAAAATCTTCCTCACAAATTGCAACTTGACTTGTTTATAAAACTTCAACTTGTTGTAGAAAACAATGCAAGTTGATGGTAATTATGCACATCTTTTCTAATTATTCTTCTCTCCATTTTTTAATTATTAATAGAAAAAATCCAATAAGTATTTTAAAAAAATTAGTTAATATATATTTTATTGACAACAAACACAACTTGCATTGAACTTAGGACCTTTAGGAAAATAACATGCCCTTTTATCATTAAAGCCGCTTGATAAAAGTTACAAAATGATCCTCTGACTATAAGATAATATTTTGTTGAGTTCTTGAACTATTAAAAGTACAAAATGATCCCCTGACTATAAAGAGTTGTTTTGTTGAGTCTCTTGAATATTAAAAGTTACAAAATGGTTACCCGACTATTCATTATGTTTCAAACTCGTCATCTTTTATTAAAAAATTAACGACAATCTGACCTGGACGTTAACATACAACTCAGACGATCGTTAATTTTTTAACGGAAAAGAGCGAGTTTGGAACATAATAAATAATCGAGTGACCATTTTGTGACTTTTAACGGTCGATTGACTCATCAAAACAACTTCATATAATCATGGAATCATTTTATAGTTGAGAACTCAACAAAGTAATATCTTATCGAAAATCATTTATGTACTTTACCCAAAATTATAAATATGAACGTACTTGAATATTTTATATCTTTTGATTTAATTAATTCGATTAACATTATAATTATGGTAGCAATTCGAATGGCCTGAATCCAAGGATGATTGCTTATAAATTATCCCAAAAAATATTATAATTAAAGTGATTTTCTTGTTCAAATTTGAAAAGCCATGTTGGCCACTTGCTATATAATGTCATGCGATTTTCTAATATTTCAAACAGCCTGGAATCTGGTAAGAAAATCAGTCGATGGCAACCCCCCTACACGTGCTTCTTGTCTGCAACTTGATCAAGAAAAAATAATTATAATATAATATAATATAAATGCGATATACACTTTATCAAAATTATCTTTTTTTTTGTTAACATATTCTAAATTTTATAAATATATAATTTTTAAATGAAATTATTAAATACGAATAATATAAATATTAAATATATAGGGATGGATGCAAGAATTTATATCAAGGGGTGCGAACTTAAGAAATTATATTAAAAACATAGAGGTTTAAAATTATAAAACCTCATTAGATGCAAAACTAGATAATCTATATAAAATATAAAAAATATTTAAATATAATAGATTTTAAAATTTTTAGGGGTGCGACCGTATCCTAATATCCCTCTGTCCATTCCTATATATATGGGTATACCGTATACATCATAATGAAGAACAGAAAAGGAAAAAGAAATGTGATTATTAATATAATAAAGAGGCTTTTTTCAGACAAGTTGTTTTGTTGAGTGAAACATGCCTTGTTGCTTACTTCAATTGAGCTTTCTGTGTTGAATGAATCAAGATAAAGGTAGATTTCATAATAATTATCAATTTTATACATTATATTATATTATGATTATTTTACTCCGTTAGAAGTTCTTTGCACGCATCATTTTTGCGTCTCACAATTGTTAAAAAATTCTAGGATATCTTTGAATTTCCGTCGCCTAGAGACATCTGAAAGATATAAAGGGAATGTCTCCGGATAAAAATCTCGAAGATTTAAATCTCTAAAAAGTTAAATCTATTATGGCCCTACGGTTAACACATGCACTAAATACTCACTATAAAATTTCTCGACTGAAATTGAGAGACGAGATACAACCTAAATAAAATTATCTCACTATTGTTCTCTTCTGCTCTACCTCCTCACAGAGACAAAGTTATCAACACCAATCAATGGTCGATTACTCGCCAGTTGCGTCTCTCTATCTAAATTAGAAGGTGTGAACCGTCAATAATAACCAATACAACTTATTTGGTCTTTTCAATAATCGAATCGATTAAAAAATTAATATATATATATATATATATATATATAAGTAATTATATTATAAAGTAACAAAATAGATTCAAGGATAGAACAATTTGGCAAAGAGAAGCTCATTCCAAGTATCTTGAAGGCCAGGCAAACACCAATGAACACAATCGGCATAGCTAGTGGGGTTAGCCAACTGCTCGGGCGTCAATGGATTCCATTGCTTCTTGTAAATCGATGTGTGCGCATCTTTGCGATAATTCGACATCTGAGTGATGTTAAGGAACGTGATGGGGTACTTTGATTTACTAAATACTTCCCCAATCACTTTCATTACACTTTTTCTACTATCCGAACCCCAATAATTTGGATCTTCAATCATTGCTGTTTGGTTGTAACAGTTCTCACTTGCTCTACCTCCCCAATCAATGCCTCTGCCAACAAAAAATGGTTTGTTCATCGAATATGATCGAACGATCGAAAATATAGTCTAAAACGATCTGATTCGATTTTAAATACGAATCGATGGGAGTTGAAGTTATACTCACTTTGCATGAGTAGGGGACATGCTGGTGAAGAAAACCCTACTTTTGCTTGGATTCATATTTCTTCTCACCCATCTCAACATGCTTCTCATTCCCATTCCATAGGCTTCCTCGGTTGAAACAGTTATTATTTCTTTATCTTCATCCTCGAACGATCCTTTTCTGTCCAAACGTAGTGAATATTCATATAATGATCATATCCGAAACATGAGCATATATATATATATATATGAAATGAAGATGTTCATTAGTAGATCAAATTCATGCATGAGATTAAGGACTGGATGGGCATTTGAACTAAAGTCGATGGGTTTAGATTCAATTTGAACCGATCCTATCTGGTTAGTTTTTTCTTTTTTTATAAAAAATAATCAGGTTCGGGCTGAATTTTTTAAAGGATAAGATCAAGTCGGGTTTAAGGTGAAAAATATATGACATGACCAGAAAATAATAATATAGTTGATCTTTATATATCTAGGGATAATTACTATAATATCTCTATATCTATGTTTTTTTTCAATTAGGTCCCTATTTTACCTAATAAAAATAAGAACTATATATATTTGTATTAAGTGAGATATGAGTTTTTATCTTAAAAGTCGGGTCAGGTAAAATTTCTCTAAACTTGGATCAGGACAAGTGACAAGTTGAGGGATGTTATACTCAGGTCGAGTTCAACCTTAAGTGTGATATATTTTAAACAAGCTTAATTTTTTTATCCAAACCTATTTTCGAGTATAATATTTTCAGTTAAACCCTTCTATTGGACCAATAACTCAATCTTTGAACAAATCTAATGTTAAAAAAGAAAATTAATTGAATTCGAGTAGGTATAGAACAAAACGAGAGACATACAAGACCTTCATCTCCAAGCCAGTCATCCACCACAAATAGGTATTGAAAACCAAGATATCAACCCCTTTCCAATGCTTGCCATGCTTGTTGATGGAACCTTTCCTCACTACCCTATCAGATATCCTATGAACAATCGCATTATCTGCGTTCGATTCAAGTAGAAATGGAGCCCAGTAGAATTCAATGCTCATATTATAATCCTAAAACAAAAAGATAAATCATTAAACATCAATGTAGAATTTAACAAATATTATTTACTGTTTAGTAAAAAAAAATTACCTTGGCTTTGAAAACAGTGAGGGAATCATGATTATAAGTTTTGATGGATTTTTTATCCTCAGGGATGAGTGTATGAAGAAGACAGATCATTGATGTATATTGGCCACGGTTCAATGAGTCTCCCACGAACATCATTCTCTTCCCTCTTAGGGTTTCCAGCATCAATGTCGCATTGAAACTGTTTTATTTATGAAAGTTTATAACCATAAACGTACGCGTAGTTGGGAAATATTCATATAACCATTAACATAAAAAAAAACTAACCACTTAAAATCTTACAAGACTTCATAAATTCGATAGTGGTGGTTCTACAAAAAAATATTTATTGTATTTAATATATAAAAAAATTAATACTTCTAAAATAATTTTCACTTTAACCATTTTATTATTAAGAGCATATTAGTTATTTAATCTCAAATTTTAAGAGAAAATGATTTAATTTGACTAATATTTAAATTCAAAGGACTTAAAATATAATTAGACAAAATTTAGAAGGATCAGAGTCCCTCCTATTGCCTATATAACTTCATGGACATCTAGACGAGGAGAAAGATCTGATTTTTGTAATGTTGATATTTTAAATACTAAATTAAAATATTTAAAAAATTAGGGACCGTTTTAGAATTTAAGCGGTAGTTTAAAGGAGCTTGGTGCAATTAACCCTTAGTTAATTGTTTTACCTAGGAAGATCGCATCCATGAGGTTGCCATCGCCATTTTTCATAGTCTTTATCAGGTCTTCCATGTTCTTGACACGTCAACTGAGGCTGAATGTACGGACACTCCGATTCTTCGTAGAGAGGCCGAGTTAACTCGTCCCTAACCCACCTCCCACTGAAAACATCACATCCTTCTTCACCCTTCCCTATTGCGAAAGCCAGCTTCTCTCTCTTCTTCACTAAACTCAAATCCCCATAACCCAGTCAAATTAATTCAACAAAGAAAAACACTGCTTGACCCAATTGGCTGAGTTGAGTTAACTCACCAGGTTTAGACATAACTCGGCCTGGACTTGGTTCAAGCTGTCCAAGAATGCACATGAAATCTTCTCCATAGAGAATTGCAACGAAAACAATGAAAGCTAACAAAGTAAAGAGATAAGGAGAGAATCGTGTTTTTCTAAGAATACTAGAGGAAGACGACGACAATGGCGGTTTCATGGTCTTTTTCTTCTAAAAAAAGACTGTAATGTTATTAATTCACGTGGGAATTTTTAGTTATTTTCAAGGGTATAGGAGTTTAGCAATGTTGAGATTGGAGCATGAATATATATAGAGAAAAAATCTATATAGGAATGATAATTACTTTATTATAATTTCATCTAAAATATTGTATATTTATAAGATGTTTGATAATTAATAATTTGAGTTATATATAGCAATGATAGTAGATCCAATATTTATAATTTTTGAAGGAGTTATTTTTCTTATATGTCTCGGGTTTAAGGAGTTGTGTTTGTAGAGTGTGTATTTTTTCAATAGATTAAGAAAATATATGAATATATATTATCTTATAATCACTTTAGATAATTCAAAAAAGAATAAAGATCTCTTTAAAATTCAAATCTTATTTATTATTTATATTAAATTTGAGTCTTAGCATACAACTTTAAATTAATAAATATATTTCAATTATTCAAATCTATTAAATATTAACATTTAACTACAAAACTAAATAAAAAAATACTTTTTTTTTTGAAAAATGGGCACTTTGTATTAATAGGATACAAGGTGCACCACCCCATAGATAAAATAGACTGAATATATGAAGATTAAAGTTTTCATCTCTTGATGTCTTGAGTTCGAACATCATGTATGTATGAGTGTATGAAAGTTTAATGTAAAATGATTAAGAGTCTTTGAACAAATACTACTTTATGTTCACCCCATACTAATAAAAAATGTCATCGATTCTAAATTGACTACTAATTAAAATATTAAAATCTAAATATTATCTGAATCCAAAAAAACAACCCAGTTATTCATAAATATTCTGTCGTCGATATTCATCCATATTATTTTATATCATATTCACTTTATTTATTTATTTATCATGCTTTTAGTTAGGTTTCTCTTGTCATGTTCATTTCATATGATCATAAAGTGAGATCTCACAGCATTTACATCAACAGCATGTAAACCAACCTGTCATTGCTTCACTTAGTTTAACATAGGTTTTTTAATTATTTTTCTTCACATTATTGTATCAAAATAAAATGATTAATATAATTTTATAATTTCCCCCATATAATTATTCCTATATTCTTAAAAGATCCAATTTTGCATTTACTTGAATTGAATTTGTTACCACAAATATAAAATTTTACATTACTTAAGTGTAAATTTACAACTTAAATAAATAAATAAATAAATAATTTTTTAGTGATTATTTTAGTTTATTTTTATATGAAAAAAAAACCTAAAAGAGGGAAAGAAGAGAGGTAGTGCGTAGTAAATGATGTGCAACGGAAAGGTTAATCTTCCCTTAGCTTTCAAGCTAAGGATGTTCTAAAGATGCCACATCATTATCCAACCTTTGTATATGCATGCATTTTTATTCAAATTATTTCAAATTAAGATCAAATTGATATAATGTATATATTTAGTGATGTTTAAGTAATTAAACAAAGGTTGCTTTGGTTTAAGAAATTTAGGTGATGATTTGATGACATTCTACCTTTGTAATACCTTTTAGGTGATGCTGAACTAATTACACTAATCTTTAGCAATAAAGCAGTTAGCTCTCGAGTGCTGTCCACATTCTATATTCAACAATCCAATAGGAATGTGTCAACTAAACCATCGCCATGTATTTTATTCCAAACTTCTATTCATGTTCTAACTCTTTATTTGTGTCCTACGCATACTATTTTTTATGCCATGATTATGTTAAATAAAAGATTGGATAATTTTGATAATTACTTACTACACTCACATCATTTATATGTAGAATTATGATTTAAGTTTGTTTTCGTAGTCGGTTAAAATCAGTAACGGCGTTTCTAATTTTTAATTTCATCAATTTAGCTCTTGAATTATATGAATTGCATCAACATTATTTTTTTATCAACTTATCATATTCATGCGACAGTTCATCATGTTGACATGAAAATCTACTCGTGAACAATAATAGGATAAATATGCTTAGTTGATTTGTCTAGAAAGTTTGAGAACTTAATTTTTTTAAAAAAAAAATTCTGAAAACTTATTTAATCTTTAAGTAAAAATTTTAAAAAGTGTTGAAATTTAAGGAAAATATAGTATGCAAATTAAATGACCATCCAGCTCAGTTGGTAGAGCACAAGGCTCTTAACTTTGAGGTCGTGAGATCGAGTCTCACGGAGGGCATTTCATAATTTGGAAGTCTCTTACGGAAGCTGCTCTCAACCTGGCGTTGGGGGCAGCCTACTATCCTACCTCCCCCTTACCCCATTACATATGGGAATAAGGGTCAGCTAATTATAGTATGCAAATTAAAAATAATTATTAGAAAGTAGTGTAATAATGTGAAAATATATATCTACGACTAATTCTATGAAAGACGTGATATTTAAGAATATTTTCCTTGAAACAGACATGATATAGTATTCACAATTTTACTTACTATTCTAATTTATAATTATAATGATAAATTGAGGCTCTTTATAATTATATGAAATCTGGACAAGATAGATATATTAGAAAATATGTTAAAACAATAACTTAAAAAGTATATGTTTAAATCGGAATAAAGTAATATATTCAAGAGTCAATTACGCACGAAAAGTGTTAAAACATCTCAGATACCTAATATTGATGATTTTCTAAAATCGTATGTTGTCTCGATTCTCAAAAAGTTATAAATAAATTTACCTTTAATTTTTCATTCCTTAAATGAATGTACTTCCATGGAATCCATGAGACAAAAAATAATGTTAATAATAATAATAATATCAAATTATAAAAATATAAGAAAATAATAAAAATAATTTTATATAAAATAAAAAGAAAATATGGTAATGAAAGAATTAATACGAATAGTAATAATATAAAATAATTTGGTTAAAAGTAACAAATATATACATACCCAAAACCTAAAAGGTTGGTCTCAACGACTGGGCTGGATGGAATGGACTCTGGGCTAATCCCAATTAAGGGTTACCTCCTGATATACTGGACGGGTCCTCTGTAATTGGGTTGATGGGTTAAAAAGAACAGATTGGACCTAGGTCAGGTCGGTGGTATCATTATTAATGTGCAACATCCTAAATTCGATCATTGTCAAATGGATATGAGATGTTACCTTGGGTTGCTGAAACAACCACCCAGTTTTAAAAAAAATTATATCATTTCGAAATATAATATGATTGATCAAATTCATAACAATTATAAAATATTTATAAACTAAACTTTGTTACACTTTAGTTTAAAACAAATATATATATATATATATATCAGAGTTTACATAGTAAATATATAAATAAAATTTCTATGAATACACATGCCCACTAAAAATAATAATATTGTATTATGGATGAAGATACAAGAAATTCTACTGCAATGGTATTCCTTGAACAAACTCAGACTACTAACTTACGAACGAAAACATCAAAATATTAAGTTTTATAAAATTCAATAATATATCTCTGTTCTTGAGTATACATCATAAATCCCATAAATATAAGCATGCTAACAGAAATAACAATAAACAACATATACATATATGATTCATGAATACAAGTTTTATATGCTAAAGGTTCATTGGATTTTCTTCATAATAGTATTTGCCTTATGCATTCCCTAATATGTAACTAAACGTCTAGTCATGAGCATATCTTGATCTCTAGACTCAATGACATGCAAGTCATACATTGTCATATAAACAACATAATTTTAGTACCGATGCTACAATAGTAGTCGAGCATTAAATTAAATGGAGGAACCTTGTGTCACATATGCCTTGATATATTTCCAATCAATCACAACAAATGATCTTTCGATCTCATCACAGCCATCGGGTATAGGTCATATAAAGGAATTTGGTGTCATATATGCCTTGATTAAATTGTTGCTAACGATACATAACATTAGCTCGATGTCACCATAATAGTCAAGGCAAGCATCATGAATATCCAACAATCACCATTACATATAATCGCAATATGCATAGGTGATCATAGGCCACACATATCAATCATTTCTTTACAAAGCCAATCTAATTAGCTTGACTACACAATTTCATTTTTGACATAATCAAGTGAGGTCGTTTCATCTCTCATAATTACATAACACGTTATCTCATATAGAACATTATACAAGGATAAAATGATCTTTTAGTATTTATAACGTATAAGGCATTAAGCATTATCACTACTCATATGATACATCATATACTTATCACGTTACTTAATTCGAAGTTAGTATTAATGATTCGCTACTCACATTCAATTTGACCTTTTCCACAACCTATTAAAAGGCTTGAGATTCGGCTCACGCATCACCACTTCATCAAATATTCACATGATACACGGTTCCTCTTGCACCTTATCCATGTAATATATCATTCTGCTTACAAGTATTCATTCAACATCGATCTGTCGTTCATATTTCTTTCCCCACTGTTTACACACCTAATAATTAAGTTCAAGGAGTAGTTAATACACTATCGACTTGTTACTCTCTCTTTTTTTTTTCTTTTTTTTTTTTGATAACGTAGGACCTCCCCCTACAAGGCCAGGTTAAAGAACCCGACCCTACAAGGCAACCTCCGGAAGGGCTCAAAAAACCCACCACTCTGTTATTGAAGCTTCCCATAGGCTAAATCTTGTTATCACAAGTCATCCCTTACTCTTACAAACTTTTATCGAAGTCAGATAAGACTTTCATATCTTTTGCTCTTGTGAAGCTCAACATTCGGATATTCTCATTTACATTTTAATAGACTTGAGTATTTTGCGGAGTACTATCACTGCATGATTTCTAGCATCAATATTCGGAGTACAATATCTGAGTATTTTAGTGTGCATGTATACTCATAAGACCCTTGTGTATATTTGACCTATAATTCAATTTATATTTTAGATTTGTTTTTAGTAATACTTGTATAGAGGAGTTTCAATTTTGTATACTGATTCTAATTTTAGATTTTTAAATATTCTAGATTTACCAATACTTATATGTATTCAAATCACAAGAAAGAAAGAAATTTAAAATATTGGTCGCTATTGTAGTCCAATGTGGCAC